TCAGGAAATCCTTCCGTGCAAAATGTCTTTGTAATTTAATATTCTTTCATATTTCCAAGAGATGGGGTATGTCTGGAAAGTCAGTAGCGAAGTGGGATATATCTGGCCGTTTTGAATCTGCATTATGTGCCCTGCATGTCTGAAGTGTAGGTGGCTACAAAGTGTTTTCCAGATGCCTGCCCCACTCAGAGAAGGTGTGTGACAACTGAAAGATGACTTTTAACTGATCAAGACTAATTTAGGGTCTTCAGCTCACTATTCTTGGTTACTCAAACCAGCTAAAAGTATCATTCTTCTCAGTTTTGAAAATCTCTAATGAATTTTCTATAGAGCAAATTAAAGGCGGGTGGCTTGGACCAGTCTGTGTGGAGGGACAGGTTTCTCTGCAGGGGCTGTGCATGTGTGGCAGGGGCCTTGCTGAGCACAGCAGAGGGCCTGGCATAGCCTGCCAGTCACGCAGGAAAGATGCAGGAGGGTGAGGGGATGGGAAAGCGGTAAGTAAGTAAGATTATGGTGAAGTATGCCAAATTCCAGATTCACAAGGTGTGGGAGGAAAACGTACAAAGACTGAGGAGCTCTCAAGTACTTCTGGTGTAATAGCATGTGGGTAGGAAATTTCTCTCCTACACCTGTGTTCCCTGTCTCCCTGCAGTGTTGTCCTAGGGGAGTTAGAGCCTTGAATGTCCATAGCCTCTATGAAACCAGCTCAGAAGGATTACTGTGAAAATGACAGAGTTGCAAGGAACACTTAGGAGATATCGGACACTGATTTGGAAATTGAGACGGGTGCTGCCAGACAAGGCATTTAAATCTGGCTGTGAGTCCAGGCTTAGATAAAATGATTCTCTCCAGGCTTAAGGATTGATGGATTGGGGCATTCACAACGGGTGGGTGACCGTAAGAATGGGATTCACCATTCAGTTTTAACAAGGTTGTACTGATTTAATAAACAAATAAAGCCAACACCAAGCATTTAATCTTTTTCCTAATCCAAACTTCAGTGGCCGTTTAGATTTGCCTTAGAGCTGAAGTACTCAGACTAGCTATCAACTCTTATTTGTTGTCAGTAAAATAATATGTACTGTCAGAACTATTATACTTTTAACGAATTCGGGGGTTTCATCCTTACGTTTGTTACATTAGGTACTTTGCTTCCCAAATGAATTACTAATATAAGCAATTAATTTGGTGTCGATTCCTTATTTTTAATACACTTGTATTAACACAATAAATCGGAAACAAATCCTAGAAGATTATTCTGTAACTAAAAAAAAAAGTATGTAACAAAACCCTATATGAGCTGTCTTCAATTTAAATAGGAAAAGAGAGACTAAGTTAGTAAAAATGATGCAAGAAATAAATTTGAAGTGACCTTTGCTGAGGTTTTTTTATGACCCAAGCATAAAGCTAGGAAGATGTTAGGCAGGCTTCTCTTTGGGCAGAATTGAAGTATTATGGGTGTCGTATTCTAGAAATTTCACCTAAGTCTCTGAACTTCCTGGGTTTTAATGTTTATTTTCAAGTATTGTTTTCTTGTTATTGAAAAGTAATATTTTATGTATATCATTAATGTGACCTACAATGTCATAACGTTTTTTTTGTAATCTTGTGGTTACAAGTTTTTCACAAAGTGACACCATCTTTACCTAAAAATTTCTATACAACAGGTCATGAAGTAAGAATAGGAATGAAAAGGTAGAGGGCTGTGCTCCCACAACTTGTTTTTAGTCTAAGTTAAGGACAAACACAGTGCAGAGCCTCTAGTATGCACTTCTAGTCGCTTTTATTTTCCACTGAAGAGTAAGATAAACTCTTGCATTCTAAGGCATATGTACACTGTAACTAACATGTAGCTATATGTGGCAGTTCAAAGATTTCACTTGAAAGTGCCAGGCAAAGTTTACTCATTTAATTAAAATTTTATTTCATCTTGAACAAGTTGTTTGTGAAGCCCTACACTGGAGTACTCTTGGTTGTGGACCAAGATCTCGCTCTCTTCTTGCAGACTTCAGATAAATAGTGAAGTTAGCAATTACTGTGGAGTAATGTTCAAAGATTTTTAATTCTCAGGATTTCGTATCAGTAATATAACATAGAAAAAGTCCTGAAATACATCAGTAGAAAGCTGAGTATCTAGGATAGGTTCACACTAGATTTCTGCTTTCACAGGTAATGATTAGTCAGCAGTATGAAAATTTTGACCACCCCTCAGCATCAATGTTGTTGGAGTCCTTAGCCATTAAATGCAGATGCAGTTTCTACTGGTAGACTGTTCCATTCCTGGTATAATTTGCTGTCTGACTGTGGGTTCTGGTTATCAACACAACCTTGCTGACATACCCTAGGTCAACAGCAGGAGTATTTTGCTAGCATACTAGTGTAAAACTGTCAGAGCACTCTTAGGATAGCCATTAATTTAGATGCTGTTGGTCAGATATATGGTGTTTTGAATGAGTCTTAGACAAATCATTATCAGCAAAATGGTTGAGAGAGGAGTAGGTGCAATTCTGTAATCATGGGATGATTAGGCAATGGTCCATTTTTTCTCAGAAGAAAAGCAGCAGGATTCATACTTCTGCACCATTTGAAATTCTAAAGGGCTAAAACAAAGCGTGTGGTTCTGATATCACACCCAATTAAGGGAGGTATGAATGAACATTTAACTGCCAATTAGCTTGAATATATGCATGGCATTTTCAGAATGTGCAAACATAAAAGCTTCAGATAATCTGACCTGTGGTACTCTTAATCTGAATAGTCCTGAAATCTGCTCCCAGATACGATTACAGCTGCTAGTGTCTGGTTTGTTGCCTTTGCTTGTTTGACCTTCACCCTTCTAATTTCAGCAAGCAGCTGAGATCTGACTTGGACTCTGATTCTTGTACAGCTGTAGCCAGGTTAACATGATCTGTTGGGTTTTAATGGATGGCTCTGTCTAATAACAAGACCCAGTCCTTTAGTCTTTACCCAGATTTTATTGAGTCCCTACCTGGACAAACTTATGTTGGCATTTATTTACTTTTACTCCCATTATTTTTATTGGAATGTATTTACTCCCATCTGTTGTTTGTTTATTAATATATTTTAGACTACCATTGCAAGTGTAATTTATAAGCAGACTGAAATAAATAGTGCTGAACACTCTCATGGGGCAGTTTTGTGGGGTGCTTCTTTCTCTCTATCATGTCAGGAGAAGTTAGAGGAAAGTACCAAGAAAAGAAGAATGTGATGTTTTTACTAGTAGGGGAAATAACACAGCACAAAGTTTTCAGAAGAAAACGGCTTTCAGGTGAAACAGAAGAGAGTATGGAGTGATTACTTTAAGCACAGAAAATCCCTTAATTCATGTTGATTAAATTAAGCTATGCACGCATCTTTCCAGGAACAGCTTAACAGTTGTCCTCAGGTCTTTGTTAGTACAGTGAGCATGGATAGTAATAATGATCAAGAACTAAATAGTCATATCAAGACACAACAGTGTGTCATGAACTGCGGAATAAGTCATATCTGTCAGTCAGCTGGGCAGACAAGTAAGAAATCCTATCTGGTGGGTTAGGAAAGCACTTGTCTTCCTAATAATAGCTATGCTCTTGAAAGCTTCTGCTTTGCAGAACCAGGTGGTGGGGTGTGGTCCTTCACTATTAAATCTTTTAAGTCACAGTCAAATAGGTCAAGAAGGAAAAAAAAAAGCTTAATTACTTGTTTTCAGCTCTAGCATTTAGCCAGTTTTTGATATCTAGCAGGTTGCTTTCTGGCAGGTTGCTTGCTAATCATGAATGCTTTCCCCACACACACTTAGGAAAGCCTTTTTTTTTTTTTTTTAAATGATACACATTTTTTCCTGCAATACACCAGTTCCTCTGAACTCAGTAAAAATCAAACCCTGGAAAATAATTTTTTTGTCCTCAGTTTTGCACAGAAACTTTCTCTCTGAGCTTTTTGACTTTGGTATTAGTCCTTGTTTCCGGTCATCTTTCCTCTTTGTCCATCTGTTGATTCTCTCACACGTGCAATTGCACACAGCTCCTCCAGTTAAAATTATAGCCTCTAAGTTTGCTGCACTGGATCTTCAGATATATCCCTGAGGTTTCTAATTAAACTTTGGAGCGTAACGTATCTTGGATAACAGCACCTAATTGTTTTAACTACCTATTTTTATAAGAGAATTGATGTTTTTTACATCTGCTGTAAATTGAGAACAGTGGTTACACTCACCTGAGTCAAAGGTGGGTTTCTTCACAGTGTGGGTTGCCATAACGGAAGAGCTCCAAAAGGTATCCCATTCCAGAGGGTATTTGCGGTGAAATCACGCTCATCTAAGAATAGACCAAGAAGCGTGTTTTGTCCTGAAAACAGGGACTTACGTGTGTCTCCCATGATCTACGTTGACAAAGCAAATCTGTAAAAGGGTGGAGGAGGACTTGTGTGTATTATCTCATGAAGACAATCAGTTGGAGACACAAAGGGCTTCCTTGGAAGGGAGAAGAGAGTCCCACAACTTGCTGAATTTTCATGGAGTACCACCAGTTCTGAATAAAGGGAAGGACCAAATACTGTATGGATGATGAAACTGATCCCTAGCCATAATCTGTCTAAATGTTATTTGCTCTGGTTTTGGTAAAGAGGGCTTTCTCCTGTGCTGTCTGAAAATGTCCTTATTCTGAGTCATACTTGGAGACAAGGCAGTTATACTTGCCAGCGGACTTTAGTGGTATCAAGGCACGTTCAGAAATGACAAGGATTGTCATTGTCAATATATTTAAGCCATTGTGAAAAAGTGTATACTTGTGAATACACTTGTAATTTACAAAATACTGTATTGACAGAACAACTGCACTTGTTTCCTTTGCTTGCAAGTGAAGTAAAATCAATTTATTGGCACCTGCATACTGGTTATTTAATAGGAGAATTTTTAGAAGCCTCCTTGACCTGTTCTTAGTTTTGAGCTTTCAGAAACTGAAGTCACAGCAGCCTACTGCATGCCATCTATCCACCTCCTTTCTAGCAGCTCTCTATTACGATGACTTGTCACCATTCATTCCATAATTACATTCTCAAGGTTATTTCCATCTCTACTCCTGATGTGTCCAAAGCACATATATTTACACCTATTCATTTCTGACAACCAAGTCTACTTTTCTCCAATAATATATTTAATATGAGCATTTATCATCTTTTCTGCCCAGGAGATATGCAAGGGTCTTCGCTTGCACCACTTCTCAAAAGCTTCCGTTTTCTTCCTGTCACTATCAATAATTTCTCCAAATTCACATTCGTAAGTTGCTACAGCAAAAAATTAGGCATTTCACCAGTCAAATCTTTCTACTTTTTGAGGCAAAATGTTTTTTTTCAGGCTTTTGTAAGGGAAGCCATGGATGGATCAACTATTCTTCAAATTTTTCCAGTTTCTATTGGACACGTTCTGATTGGATAAATTTGATCCCAGGTAACTGAATTTATGAACAGTCTCTGTAGCTAGACCATTAAGCATGAAGTTAGCTTATATTCTATTTTTATTAACTAAAGTTTTTTTATTTATGGCACATTCAAGAATAGCCTGTATTTTTCATTAGCCTTTCATTGGCTCTCTAATACTTGCTGCACAGCAGAAGTGGTTGCGACAAAGAGCGTTATGTCATCAGCCAAAGGTCACGTAAAAGGAGTCCATTTCAAATTCAACTTTTCCGTTCTGTAAAGTCCTTCTCGGATTTTTTTTTTCCCCCAGCCAGGCTGCAAGGAAATCTGCAGTTACCTGCAGTTGTAATAGTAGTGTATGGCTCTTTATGTTTGCTTGGTATTTTTTCAAATAACAAGGCAGATTTGGGGAATTTCTGAGTGTATGGGACTGCTTCGAGGAAATACCACTGAGGAAATTGGGAAAGTTTGGCAATGTATGTAGCCCATGGTGGCTGCCTGCTGGAGGGAAGACAGTATGAGCAGAGTCTCTCCCTCTGCCCCATTAGATGAGAACTGTCCTATGTTCTACTAAAAAATGAGAGGATGTGAGGTACTAATAAATTCTGATTAAGAGGCTCCTTCGTGAAAAGTATCGATTGTACTTGTGATGCTGCTATTCCTAATTCTTTCACAGATATAATGTCTGCTGCTCGCAGTAAAGAAAAGAATTATATGACACTTTACAAATGAATATGAACTTGGAATTTATCATTATGGTCAAAGAAAGATGTTTGATGAATGGATGTGCAGACTGAGAGCTGTACTGTAATGATAGGGTCATTTCACGATGATGGATATGTATGTGGTGTACTATTCAGAGACTTAAAAAGGGGTTGCATTTATCAAACTCAGGGAAGCATCACAGTGTTTGGGTATGACTCTGAGCAATACAATCATTACAATTTGCCTTTGAACAAAGTCAGGAAATACACTGATCATATAGGTTTATGCTGCTAGGAAAGCAACTAATGATTCAATCAATGTGTTTTGTGAACAGCTTGAGGGGATAATCATTAAAATGTTACACCACTACACCATTTCGGAACTTGAATATGAAAGTTGGAATTTCAAACCCTTGTAAAGAACAATTTGCATTTGAATTTACAAAATAAAATTACTTATTTGGATTGTGTAGCTCTGGTCACTTCATCCTTACGATTCTATTTCAGTAAACGCGCTGGATGTTTGCATCCACGCAGGTCATCAGCCAGAATGACAGAGGAGCGCACTGACAACATAGTGATACAGCAGCAGGGAATACCGAGTATCAGTGGAAGAAGATTTTCCTAAATTCAGGATATGCGGCAGCAGAGACGGTAACTGAGGTTATTTGAGCCAGTACTTCAATGGGTATTTAACAAGGTGGACAATTAATTGGTGTCTAAAGAGAGCACAGAATATCAGGTATTGAGTAGGCAAAACCAGAGGTAGGCTGGACAAGGCAAGAGCAAATACAGAAATGAGAAAAGCGTAGTCTTGACAAACATGAATGCTTAGTAATACAAAAGCTGTGTTCACAATAGTCAGATTTCCAACCAAAAATTCTCCGTGATGGAATATAAAAAAGTTCGTGATGGTAGAGTGACGGCTGAAGGCGATGATACTAAATGCCAGCAGAGGGATTACTGCTTGTAAAGTGGACTGATACGTATCCACTTACAATTTCACCAACATCTAATACCACTATTTATATCCTATCTGAATTTGGCAAGGCAGCTCGTGTACTCTGTGTCATATACTATAACTACACTGTATCAAGCACATAAACATTTGCTTTCTTAAGTATATCTCTGTACTGTTCTTTTTATCTTCCAGACACTGCATACTTACACCTAATCATTTATATTTTCAGGGAAGCGCATGCTAAAATTGTAAACTTCCTTTATCTGAGACCATTAAAAAGGCAGACAGACTTTTAGCCAGCATGTGAACATTTAAGTCACTACTTTAGATGTACTCCATTTTTGCTTATGGAATGCCATTGATCTATATTTGATCAATATTTTTTAAACTTCCTTCAAGATCTGCTCAGCAGCCACCTCTAATCCAACACATGGAGAAGAAAACTTGAGAACCATTTTTTTTTCATCCATTTTCAGTATCATTTAGCTTGACACTGCCTGGATGCACTGTTAGGCTTGTATTCTTGCTTCAAAAACTGTAACAATATGTTCTCTCACACAGCTTCATAGTAAAAAAGATGTAAATGAAAAAATGTTGGCAAGTCTAAGATCTGCTCAGCAGCCACCTACCTCTAATCCAACACATGGAGAAGAAAACTTGAGCGAACCATTTTTTTCATCCATTTTCAGTATCATTTAGCTTGACACTGCCTGGATGCACTGTTAGGCTTGTATTCTTGCTTCAAAAACTGTAACAATATGTTCTCTCACACAGCTTCATAGTAAAAAAGATGTAAATGAAAAAATGTTGGCAAGTCTATCAGATTCTGAATATAGTAAGAGAGAACAGAACAACGTTACTTCTAGGGGAGAAAAACTATCTAGCAATACCCACTAAGGAAGCAGCTTCATATAGCAAGTAAGAAATAACACCAAAGGAAGTACACAAATGCTGACATAATCTATGAATAAAAAAAACCCAAGGGCTTTATAGTTTCCTCAATTTAAGCAAATTTGCAGTAATATTTAGTCTGTCTTACCAAACCCTTATTTTGGTGTTTGTTTCTTTCTAAAAGGTTTGTCCCTTGGCCTGTTGCCAGAGATGAGAAAAGGGAACACAAGAAAAGGTATGAATGAAGAAATGGGAAAGAGCAAAGATGAACACGTGGTAGAGAATCTGCAGCTGGCCAAGCACTGGGGAGTTTCACGTGAGCAAACAAAAAATGCAGAGATAGAACGTGAAATAAATAGCCCTGAGTGAATTGCAAGTATATATAAGCATCATTATTTATAGTGTATATAGAATCATAGAATCATAGAATCATTGAGGTTGGAAAAGACCTCTAAGATCATCGAGTCCAACCATCGACCCAACACCACCACCCACTAAACCATGTCCCTAAGCGCCTCATCTACACGTCTTTTAAATACTTCCAGGGATGGGGACTCCACCACTTCCCTGGGCAGCCTGTTCCAATGTTT